TTGCATCCCACATCTCCATCACTTCTGAAATTTGATCACTTGGACATCAGAGGCAGAATCATGCTGGTGCCACTGCCTCTAGCAGCACCCAGTTTCTTGACCAGTCAATTCATTATAACACAAGAACTGCACAAATAAAAACCGTACAAGCGAAGATAATAACAAATTAGCATTAAAAAACATCACTCTTGAGAAAATATATTTAACAGCATGCATTTTAGGCAGATGCACATCACTAATTCATACATGTTCATGAACTGATAATATATAGCTTAATATCTCATACTTTTTAAGCCCACATTAGCCTTAATTTGGAAGCATTTAACGCAGAAAGCGGGTATAATAACACAGCCACAATAGCAAAATTGAATTTAGAAACAAATTCATTACACAAATAATCAAAAGAAACAAACTTTGACACTAATTCAACCCAAGAGTTCAAACCCATTTTAGCAACTGTGAGTCCAAACAAAATTCAGTAAAAAGACTGTTTTAAGCGAGAGGAAGGCATAGACGTTGAAGAGATAAACTAGTACCTGAAGCTCAGTAGCTATGGTTTTGAAATCTGTGCAACGGAGAGGGACAAGATACCGGGATCGGTTTGTGACTTTGTCATATAACAGTTATTAGCTGTAAATTATAATTTTTACCCCACTTAGGTTAGTATTTTCTTAGATTAGTCCCTAAATTTAAAGTTGTATTTAAAATTCTCTCAATGATTTCATTTTTATTTCAGTAGATGTAGAATGGAATACACATGCACATATTTTATACAATATTGGAATATAAAACACGACATGGATTTATTATAATTATTGAATTATGAGGTCTATCGATTTATGATACTAATAAATTATTTTCGTCTTCCATCGCTCTAAGGTCTTTATTATTTTAGGATGATTTATTATAATGTTTCTTGAAATACGCTGGAATTCTTTCATATTCCCTTGACTGGGCAAATACCTGTCATAAATCGTTTTCCCTAATTGTTTAGATTGCGATAAATAAGAGCATCAGGGAGGTCCCTGAGAATGATTTTAAGTTTAGGGGTAAACTGAACTTTCCTTTCTCCTTAAGTTTAGGTTGTCGTTTTAATTTGTCTTGGCAGGTTACTTAAACTTCCTTGTAAGTGGTTATGTTTTAAATAGTTTTTATATTAAAATATATATTAATAATATTTTTATTATTTTTTAAATTTTATTTTTGATATTAATATATTAAAATAATTTAAAAATATTAAAAATATATTAATTTAAAATTAATAAAAATAAAAAATTCTAAATTTATTTAAATATATTTTTAAAATACAAAAACTTTATTGACCGTTTGTCATTTACTCACACGGACACGGATAAGTGTGGTCTTGGTTCAGACGACAAGTCATTGATAGTTTTGCTCGACGGTTGTTGGGGTTGTTATCCGACTTGTCGCTTGGTTTCATCCTGACATAGTTTCACATGTGGACCGACGTGTCGTTTAGTTTGCATCCTGAGTCCCTTGACCATTCTTCTGTTTTTGCTCTTTACAACTTACTATTACCCTGTCCAGTTCTCTCCAGCAAAGGTTTCTGAAACGTTGTTATTCATACAAAATGAAATCGGTGAATTACAGGTTAACCTGATCAGGCGAAGCTTGGTAACGATGATCAAGAGAAGTGCAAAGTGACACCGCGATATGATGAATATTCTTGAGGCAAAAGGGTGGGATTTTTTTATGACTGATAACCCGTCCAATGTTGTGAGAGAGAGGTAGGATTCCAAACAAGTATCCATGACTGTTCTATAATATAAGCATGACACTGTCACAACAGTACTTTACAGTCCATCCAGAGAAGAAGATGTAAGAGATTAGCTAATTATTGAGTTGAAAATGGCTACTATAGGGTCATGGGCTAAGCGAATAGGAATCTATCTACCCAGTAATTAGTTAGGCACAAGAATGATCAAGATGGATTCCAAGACAAGAAAAAACACTCAGTGCATAGCATATATTATGAATTTCATGGCAAGAAAATATGAAGAACACTTGATTTGAAATAAAGGTCCTCAAAGCCAACTTTATGGGCAAGGAGGAGAGGGGGGGATCGAGGGAAAGAATGTCTTTGACATAGATTTCATGCAATCTGCTGTTGTTTTGCTTTGTTTTTTTCTAAAGTTTGCGGCATCCATAACTCAAATCATCAAAGGCATTATTATTCCTCTTCTTTTAGAATAGAGCAGAGTAAAGCACTGCTAACCCAGTTCCCACTTCCCAATTCCCTTCTTCAAACAGACAGGCAGTCCTCTCTTCTTTTCCTCACCTCCTTGGTATCGGTGGATTTGCCCTTCCTTTTCTTTGCCCTTTCTCTTTTTCTCTTTTCTTTTTTTCATAATCTACTTTTGAGCTTATTCTGAAGCTGCTAGTACATAACTCATCAATCATTTTATTTGTCATCAAGAGAGTGATCATTCCATTCATAGCCCTTAAAGCTTAGTGCTTTGCAAGATGTTAACGTAATTTATAACTCCTCCCACAATATAGAGAGTCACCAACTTTATTTATTTTTTATTTATCCACTAACCTTTATATGATGAGAGAAAGAGAAAGTCGGATATCACATGCAAACCACTTTCACATACAAAGACTAGAATTTGCCTCACTAGCAAGTAAAGCACAATCCCATGTCACATAATATCTACACATACCACCTCTTCAATATAAACCAGCAAGATTGCTGCTTTCTCATATTAATTAGTAGCTTGTCTTATAGTTTACCGAAACAACTCCTTGCTTCTACTTCTCGAGCTATCCAGTATCCACACATGCGGCCAAAACCTCTCTAAGTGATCATCTAGTTTTCCTTCACCTAGCTAGAAACCCTTGAGATTTTGTATCATTATACAAGTGAGTGAAGATTTAAAACTGCAGAAAGATGAGAGCAGGAATTTGCAGTGTACAGCAGACTCTTACACCTGAGGCTGTAAGTTTAGTCAAACAAGCAGTTAGTCTTGCTAGGCGGCGAGGCCATGCTCAAGTCACTCCTCTTCATGTAGCAAGTACTATGCTTGCTTCCTCTACTGGTCTTCTCAGAAGGGCTTGCCTTCAAGCTCACTCTCATCCTCTTCAATGCAAGGCTCTGGAGCTTTGCTTCAATGTGGCACTTAATCGCCTCCCTGCATCTACTTCTAGTGCCTTGTTAGGGCCTCACTCTTCCTACCCTTCCCTTTCCAATGCCTTGGTTGCAGCCTTTAAGCGTGCCCAGGCTCACCAACGGCGAGGCTCCATCGAAAACCAGCAACAGCCCATTTTAGCCTTGAAAATTGAGATAGAACAACTCATAATCTCTATCCTTGATGATCCTAGTGTCAGTAGAGTCATGAGGGAGGCTGGTTTTTCTAGTACTCAAGTGAAAAACAAAGTAGAACAAGCTGTTTCTTTGGAGATCTGTCCTCAAAGTTCTGTTACTGTTAGTAGCCAGTCTAAAGAAATAACCAAACCTCAAGTTCTTAGTGCTAGCGTGCCTCAGCCTTTACCTCTTAGTCAGTTTGGAATCATACATGGAAAGCCATTAGATCAAGTAAGGAATGATGATGTAATGAGTGTCTTGAACGCATTGGTGAGAAAAAAGAGAAACACTGTCATAACAGGTGAGTGTCTGGCTACTGCTGACAGTGTAGTTAGGGGAGTGATGGACAAGGTCGGGAGAGGAGAGGCTTCTGGGGATTTGAGGTCTGTGAGGTTCGTAAGCTTTCCTCTCTTCTCTTTAAGAAATCTTTCCAAAGAGAAGCTTGAACAGAAGCTTGTGGAGCTTAGGTGCATTGTGAAAAGTTATATGAGTAATGGGGTGGTTTTATATTTGGGTGATCTAAAATGGATTTCTGATTTTTGGTCAAGTTATGGTGAGCAAAGTCGAAGCTACTACTGCACTGTAGATCACATAATCATGGAGATCAAAAGATTAGTTCGTGGATTCAGTGAAACGGGAAGGTTTTGGCTTATGGGGATTGCAACTTTCCAAACTTACATGAAGTGTAAAGCAGGCCAGCCTTCTCTAGAGACTATGTGGGAACTTTATCCTGTAACAATTCCAATTGGGAGCCTCAGCTTAAGTCTCAAACTTGATAGGCAAGTCCTTACATTTTAATACAAGTGCTATTTCAAGTTCACTTGCCTATCCTTTTTCCTCGACATGCCTGTCACCAGTATTAACTTTTTTGTTCTTTACTTTCTTTCAGTGATTCACAATCTCATCAGCCCAGAAGCAAGGTATCTATGAATGGGTCCAGTTGGCCACTGCTTGAATGTGGAGTAGATAACCACTCAACATGCTGGGAAGATAACTCTGTCAAATTCAATAGGGAATCTCAAAGCCTAGCAGGTAGGACCCAAAACAAGGAATCCACTACTGGCATTACTATTTCCGCCAGCTCAAGCTTGCCATTATGGCTCCAGCAATGCAAGGAAGAGACTGAAAGAAACACCACCAATGATAAGGTGCTTATTTTACCTGAACTTCAAAGTTTGTTATAGATCTTGTCTTCGATGCTTGATAGAAACATTAACACTCCTTGCAATTGTAACTTCTTCAGCCGGAATATCTAAGCAATAAAGGGAGCTTGCTTTTTGGTTCAGTCCACAAACAGTCCTACTATCCTGAGAAAACCATCAAATTTGCTTCGTCACCTCCTTCGCCGAATTCAGTCTCCTCGCATGAACCCAACACCGACTCACAGCAGACACATCTAAGTTGGCCAGTGATTTTTGAACATAAACAGCTCGAGAAAGAGAACCAGATTTGGATTTCAGAATGCAGCAATGAAGGTTATGAAAGCAGTCTGAGAAATGGTCCTAAACCCGACCTTTTGTCAAATCCTAACTCTAGCCCAAATTCAGCTTCTTCAAGTGAGGCAATGGATGATATGGAAGGTGTTCAAAGCTTTAGAGAGTTCAATGACTACAACTTGAAGAATCTACGTAATGGCTTGGAAAAAAAGGTTCCATGGCAAAAGGATATCATTCCTGAAATTGCAACCACCATCCTTGAGTGCAGATCTGGAATGAGGAAAAGGAAGGGGAAGTTGAATCACATAGAAAACAATGCAGAAACATGGCTGTTTTTCTTAGGTGTTGATTTTGAAGGCAAAGAGAAGATTGCAAGGGAGCTAGCTAGACTAGTTTTTGGCTCTCAAAGCAACTTTGTCTCAATCGGTTTAAGCAATTTCTCATCATCAAGAGCTGATTCTACCGAAGAATCCAAAAACAAGAGAGCAAGAGATGAATTGGGTAGCAGCTATCTTGAGAGACTTGGCCTAGCATTGAATGAGAACCCTCATCGTGTGTTCTTCATGGAAGATGTGGATGGAGTTGATAACTGTTCTCAAAAGGGTCTCAAACAAGCAATTGAAAATGGAAGTGTAACACTTCCTGATGGTGAAAAGGTTCCTCTTAAAGATGCCATTATTGTTTTCAGTTGTGAAAGCTTCAGTTCAGTGTCCAGAGCATGTTCACCTCCAAGAAGGCAAAAAACCAGTGACCTTGGAGACAAGGAAGATGAGGGTGGCATGGAGGATAAAAGTCCTGTTCTTTCACTTGACTTAAATATTTCCCTTGAAGGTGATAATGGAGATGA